TTAGCAAGAACATCTCCAAAAAAACCAAGCAGATATGTGTAACCATTACTCAATCTTGCACATTCATTGTGTAACCCATAACCAAGCAGATAAATAGAAAACATAAACACAATCAATATGTGTAATCCAAATTGGAACCACAAATACCAAACCCCAAAATTTAATGCGTCTAGTGTGCTATGCGTGTGGGTGTGCTATGTGCGTGTGATGTGTTGTGTACAGAGAGAGGGAGAAAGAGATTAAGACAGAGAGAGGGGGGAGAGACGAAGAGGGAGGCAGAGAGTGGATACGTGGATCTGGGCGATAGTGCGATAACTCGATTCTAAATAAAATCAAGTAAAGCCAAGAATATAAAAGCAACTAAAATAAATAATAGAATAAATAACTCGATTCTAAATACCAAAAAAAAAATTATGAAATTGAATTATCATTCAGGTATTAGCTACAGATCTAAATCAACTCAGTCCCTTAGATGTTCTTAAAGATTTGCGATCATTTTCTCAAATCATTACAGGTCTGTAAAGGCTCATCATCGTTGTTATATAGACTCCCATATAGATAGATATATACATATATAAACATATGCAATTTATATTCAAATTGATATACAGAGAACATATAACTACCACAGTGTTCTCCAATCGCTGGGTCGCCTCTGGTGATTGCAGACATTATGATTGGAGAGAGATAGGAAAGAGCGAGAGAGAGGAGAAAGGGCATGAGTGTGTTATGTGTGAGAGAGACATAGATGGGGGAGGGGGTAACGTTAGCCTGTAGAGTGGTATATATATTAATCTTCATAGCAGTAGATCATTTACCTCCTCTGTTCTGATCCCAGTAGGAGGCATCTACCCATCAATCCATATAAAGCAAATTACATGAAGAAACAACGAAATTAGATTCGAAAATTAATATAATAAATACAATACGTGATCAAGCTGCTGAACCCGTCTTCGAGCAGTGGCATGATCCGAGTTCTGAGACATAATCGTGTTCATCTCATCGCTCACTCCTTCAATGTTGTGCTTTAGCAAAAAAGGAGTTCGGCTGGTTGTCGGAGCGTGGAAGTCAGATAAAGGTCCAAAACCTAGGTGTTTCGTCTTCGCTGGTGGGTTCATTGGTGGTGGCTGAGCCATGGCAGAGAGAGAAGTCGCAAAAGTGTGGAGAGAAAGAGGGAGAAAGGCTGGTGTAACGTCTAACAGACTTTGGAGACGTGATTTAAGTTTTGGGCGGGATAATTTTTTTGTTGCGATGAATTGTGAGTCGTTGGATCCAAGTAAATGAAATCTGAATCGTTTAAATGAATGGTTTTGCGAGATGTTTATGACCGTTAGATGAAGTGAATTGTGACCGTCCGATTGACTTGTTGAAGCCTGCTGTGTTTTATATTAAAGATATTTGTTAATTATATATATATATATAAAATATGTTTTTATATTTTTAAAAAATAAAAATAAAAATTTTTTATATATGTTATCAAACACACAAAAATCAATCATTCATTGTTTCCATCCCTCTTAAAAAACACAAAGGAGGGAATAGATGATTCTTCCCTTAAATGATAGAAAGTGTACTATTCCTACTTTTTATCATTCCATCCACCCTACGAAACGAACCATTAGAATAACAATCTCTTTTCCGTTCTTGCATATCTCTTTATATGATTGTAGAAACACAGCACATGAGTAATGTTCCTTGCACTTGATTTGCTAACCTTATTACTAATCTAATCATTCTCCGACATTAGATGAATAGAGAATTCCATTATTAATTGAAATTTATTATCAATTCAATAGTTATGATACATCGGATTAAGAAATAAGATCAAAAAATTAATCTAAATAGCATTTTCCCCGACTATAACCCGGTTTTAGACCTAACTTGTTATCCAATTTGCTGAAGCTAATAAATTAGGTCCATGTAGCGTCATTGTTTGGACAACATCATCTTTATGTCATTAATAATAAATATTATCATGAAACATTTACAAAATAGAAAAATAAGGGTAGAACAATAATGTTATGTTTTTTTATCTTATTATTGTTAAAACTTACCCCCCCGTTAACACATATTTCTAACTCCGCCCTTGGGCTCAAGGAACCTTTTAGTCCAAAAGGGGCCTCTCGATCTGGAAAAAAAAAAAAGTGATTTTGAACAATTAAAAATACCCTCAATCCAATTCATTTTCAATAGGGTTATAGGAAGCTCTAAATTCCCCTTTCGTGATAAAAATAAAGGATTTTTTTTTTTTTTTTTATCAAAAAAGTACTCAACAAAAGATAATTGCCATGTTTACTTCCAACTACACACATCCATCCAGCATACGAATAGATGAAACAGAGTGCCCAATTTAGGTTTTTGATGCATATTCGTAACCGATTTATCTCTTAAAGGTACACAAAAATAAGGGTTGTTTATCAATTTGTATCCAAGTATATAACAATTAGGTCTATCCATGGATCGAATTATGATCCAAATTCAATTTAGTTGGATATGAATTGATATTTTTTACTGATAATTCGAACCCGAATATGAATCGGAATCCAAATATCTTGTATTTCACAGATTCAGATTTAGATTCGGATATACATAGATCCGATCCGAGTTATTTCTATATAAATATTAAAGAAATTAAGTGATTATTTAAAAAAATTAAATTAAGTGATTATTTAAAAAAAAAAATTAAGTATAATTTATTAAAATTTAGTTAATTAACTTATTTGGATGCAATCATATTTTCGAATTGAATTTCAAATTGTTAACAGATTCAGATATAAATCGTGAAAATAAAATCAATAGAATTATTACATCACTTTTTAATTGAACTTTTAAAATCAAATTCGGATCAATCAAAATTTAATTCGAACTCCATACACAGGCCTACCGACAATTGACTGGAGAAAGACAGAAGTTCAAATTATAAACAAATTTGGATATGAATCATGAAAATAAAATCAATCAAATTATCAGACCCTTTTTGTAATTGAACTTTTAAATTCGAATTCGAATCGGTATATATCCGATTCAAACTCCATCCACCGGCCTGCCGACAACAGACTGGAAAGACAGAAGTTCAAATCTTTGAACGAATAAATTTGACGGTATTGCCAGATGTAATTGATCTATTGACCATTGAACAACATTCACATGTGTTGAAGGTAGAATGCGACTCACCGGAAAATGAAAGAATTAAATAATAAGTAATTTTGAATGAAATTTATTTATACGATGTTTTAAATTTATTAATATGATAATTTTTAACAAAAACACAGCCAACAAACCCCGCTTTTAAATGAAAACATGGTATATAAAAGTTATAATTCAAAAATGTGATTATTAGAAAGGCCATTCTTTTATTTAAAAACAGGGTCAGTAACCCATTTTTTAACAAAAGAATAACAGAGAGATCAATAATCCCACTTTTTTAAAAAATATCGTAATTTAGTAAATGAGTTCAAAATTATCATAATTTCAAAATCGCCATATTTTGGTACATAATTAGAGTCGGTCTAATTTGAAAAAATTGGCAAGAACCTCCTCATAGATTTCACGAGTAGAACTTAAAGTGATTTTGGTTTTTTGCTTTTCTTTCACCAGAGAAACCGACATTCTTGCTAAGGACAACAATTATTCACACCAACCTACGGCAAATTTGAGGGATAGATTTAATTAGTCTTTTTTTTACATAAATTTGAAAATGATACGATCTATTGATACAAATAATAATAAAAAAAAACTAAATTTGTGCAACTAATGAATAAATTAATACAATTAATTAATTAAATGAATGAAATCGAATTAGTGGTAGAACATTTAATAACATTAATTAAATGAATCAGATTATGATCGATTGGTAAGGGTGCCTTATTTCCTTACTAACTTTGGAGCACTAGGATCTTCACACGTTGAATCCAGTCTGGGTGGGCAAGGTTGCAGTGTTAGTTATAGCCACAAAGAGAGGAAAAGTGACAAAAAGCAAAAGGTATCTAACTACAGAAACTTGTACACACCAATTCTCAGGAGGAATATGGAATATCGTGAGAAACTTCAATGAAAAAACATTCTTTAGACTGAAAAAAGAATTCCAAAGTTATCATACAAACAAAAAAGGGTATGCATTTTGCATGGTTCAAACACATTCAATCGATTCTTTTACTTTCTTTTTCCCCGAGAGCACCTTAAGTGTTTTCAGATCCACTCGATCAAGCTTTTTCTAGCATTTTTTTTCAATATTAGATTGCTTACTATATTTTGATAGGGGATTTACTAGTTTATAATGGGTTTTTACCTGAATTTACAGAGAACGATATAAAAATATAGTCATAGGGACCCAAATCCCTTGACAAAAATTTGGTCCAAATTATTATTAGTATGATAAATTGGATATTAATTGTCTTAGCAAAGAATTTTATGCAGATTTGTCGAGTATTAGTTCAAAAATTATTCTTAATTTGGAAATGTGTTGTATTGTAAGCACGGGATAGTGTAGATTTAATTTTAGAGATGATTCAGTGATTCAACATGATTTTTAGTAATTTAGAGGTCTCAAGTTCAATCTCTTCCGACACTCCCCTAAGGGCTTAGCCATAACTATTTCTTTAGGGGTATGTTTTAACTCAACTCAAACTATAGTGGTCAATTGTTGAACTTAAGAGAATAGTTGACATAAATTTGAAAAGGAAAAAAAAAAAGAAGAGTTAGTGCAGATTTCAAATGTTAAAGAAAACATATTAAATCTCTTCAAACGTTACCAACCAAAAAATTCCCAAGTCAAACACCCCAACCTGCTGGGTCCATGCCCAAAAAGCCATTCGCCGTCCTTGGCCCGACCAAACCAGTCCTTTTTATAAAGTCCATAGCTTAGGCCATAGAGATTCTACTCCAAGTTCCCAACCTTTTCAGTCCCAAGTCCCAAACTTCTTGGTCTTGAAAAATATTAATTGAGGAGTTTCATTTTCACTCACTGAAACGTGAAACAAACACCATCACAAACCTTAAAGATGAAACGTTTGTGTTTAGTACTAATGTTATTGGTGGTGCTGGTGTTTACACAGCCAAGTTCTGTTGGTTCTAGAGTTCTTTGTTCGGCTTCGACGGAGAAGAATGAGATTGCCGGCTCAGAAACCGGTGATGGGTTTGAACCTGCCGGGCTATCTTCATCTTCTTATTCATCGAACTTCGTCAAAGGCCATGTTTTGGAAAGAAACCAAGTATTTACTCTAGCTTCTGGCCCCAGTAGGAAAGGCAATGGCCACAAGTAGACCGTCTTCTATGTTTTTTTTTTTTTCTAAATTCGGGCAAGGGTGCATATCATACATGTAGCAGTTGTAGATTTTGGTAATTTACATTCTTGGGAAAATTATTTCATTCTGTATGGTTTCTGTTATTTAATCACGTAGATGGTGATGTTATATTTTCTGCTGTTATAACAACTCTCTGATAGCAAACTTGATAGCTAGAAGAATATACGGCCAGCCCGTCAAGACAATGATACGGGCCAGACACGTACCCACCGGCCCTACCCGCCTAGCTAATTTGCCACTCATGGATCGCAGGGGGGGAAGCTTTCCGGCCCATGGACCATAGAAATGTTTAAGCAATCATGCATTTTTCGTACAATTTGAGCAGCTTCTTGTTTCGCAAAGTGAGAAATCCTTGGAAGGCGTAGTAGGGTTTGTTCTTGCACTTGTCAAATTCATTTTCCCCTTCTGATTTCTCTAAAAGCAATTGGGCAATTCAAAGTATGTGTGTCAATCGGGTCGGATGAGACAGTTTTGTGTTGGGTCTTAAGAGACTCATATCAAAAAGAATTCTACTCATATTCGTTTAATTTAATAAATTTGTATTTAACGAATCGAGTCATATCGAGTTTGTATCATATATAATCAGTTTATAAATAAATCGTGCTATGTATATGTTTTGATTGACTTCACCTATATCCAATTCGTTTATTAATCGTGTCCTGTCGAGCCCACTCAAATACAAAATATGTGGTTTAAAAAAGATTCAAACCCTCTAATTTTGTATCGTGTTAACAAATTATGTCATATTGATACTACTAATTCAAAATAGTGTTTTCACTTATATGTAAGGTGCTAAGTCGAGATTAATACTCGCTACTTTTTCTTTCTCTATTACTACATTATTTTGTCTCGGAAAAAGAAATTATTAAACAAACCTTAAAACATAAAACACACTGAAATGGACCCAGCCATACTGGTCTAAAAATATAAATTCTCACACAACCCAAGAGACATTACATAACCCAATAGAAACAAATGGATCCCAGCCACTAGACCGAACTTGACCCAACAAATATTAATCTGGAAAGATGCCCCGAGGCATACCCAAGAGGGATTTACACCTACAGATCATAAACTCAAGAATAGTTGTTGGTATTGTAAATGTTCTTAGTTTCTCAATTCATTTCGTGGCGCAAAATTCATCGTTGGCTAAAAATACCTTTGAAATGTTGTCCGCCCCTTTATTTGACGACTCATTTGCGGCAGACAAAGATGAAGATCAAAGAAAACAAAGAAATTCCCCATGGTGGACTGATGGGCTCGAGGCCAACCAACTCAATTATACAAACTGCAAATATTTTTGATATGCTGATCCCATAATTTAAGTATGTTTGCACGTCCCATAAGAGAATTTGTGATTTCCACCGTATCCATATAAAGCCTATGTTAAGTAAAGAATGCGGAAAAATAAACAGAACTACGTGAACCTCAGGATACTCCCGAACTTCACGTTTGGAGAGTAAGAGTGTAATTAACTAAATTAGACTCAAGTAAATATAACCTTGCAGTTAAAAAAAAAAAAAACGTACTTAATACACGAGACTCTCGTCATTACAAGATTTGGAGAGGGTTAAATGTTCGTTACCTTATTCTTGAAAGCAAATAAGCTATTTCCTCTAAATCAAACCCCCTAATTACAACGTTCAAATCCTAAAACTTCGAAAATAAAATTTTCATAGTAAACTCCTTACTTGAGCCTACTCTAAAGTCCAGACCTTACGTAAGAAGCTCCACCTCCAAAACCAGGTTGATTGCCACAAATACCTTATAGCAAGCAATGACTCTAGATATGGTGCTTGGAACAAATGCAGAATGATTCAAACCTGAAAAATAAAACAAAAAAGTAGCAAAAAAGAAAGCATAAGTTCAACTTTTTACTGGATTTTTCTTAACTTTTTAGATTAAAATACACACCCACCCCCCTCCCCACCCCTCTTCTTTCCTTTCTGTATGCTACAATGTAGGTACAACCATGGTTGAAAATTATATCACAACAATGCAGCCAAATTGAAGCAGAAGATCTCTCTTAATGTAAATAGAAACAAACAACAGAAAGTAATAGTACCTAGTCCTGCATGAATTTATCTGGCATCATCAACTTTCAATTGGGAGAACACTTCACCAGCATTTGAAAAATTTGTATCTGAACCATCAATCATTCCCGGGGTCCATTCATCTTCATCCATGGTGATGCTATTAGACGGTAAGCGATTAACGACATGTAATGGCAACTTCCATGAAGCATCTACAGTGCTGTCTTCATATGGTTCTCTTAGAACTGTGGTTTGGTTGAGCTGCAGTGCATATTCCAGATCCCACAACACATCGATCATTCCGGGCCTGTCAACACCACAATCCATCAAACACTTCTCCACTATTTCCCCAAATTTTCTCAGTGAATTGGGATTAATTTTGCCCTCAAGGAAAGGATCAACAATTTTTTCGAGCTGTCCTTCCTTTTGAAAAGACATTCCCCAATCAGCCAAGTTCACTTGATCCCGTGGAAGAAACCTACTAATGGCTGGTCTAGCACAAAGAACTTCAAGCAGAACCACCCCAAAAGAGTACACATCTGATTTCTGAGTTAATTGCAGGCACCTATAGTACTCAGGATCGAGATAACCGAAACTTCCTTTTACATCTGTGCTAATATAGGTTTGATCAGGGGGACCTGATCTTGACAGACCAAAATCAGCAACTTTAGCCACATAATGTTCATCAAGCAAGATGTTGGTTGACTTGACATCACGGTGAATGATGCCGCCATCTGAACTAGTGTGAAGGTAATGAAGACCCTTTGCTGCTCCAATGCAGATTTCCAGCCTTTGATTCCAATCCAATTCGGATCGTGAAGACGATGATCGCCTAGAGTCTTCATTTAAATTATAGAGATGGTCTCTCAGAGTTCCCTTCTCCATGAATTCATAAACCAGTATCATTTCAGACCTTTCGTCACAATACCCAATCAAAGAAACAAGATGGCGATGGCGAATTTTCGATAAGACCATGATCTCAGTTTGGAACTCTGGAAGGCCCTGGCCATGTCCTGGTTCACTTCTTTTAACAGCCACTCTCATGTGGTTCCGAAGAGTTCCTTTGTAGACTTTCCCAAAGCCTCCCTCACCAATTTTCAATTTGGTATCAAAATTATTTGTTGCATACAGTAAATCAGCAAAACTTACCTTTAATCCGAGGTTCAAATTTGGAAGAGGTGAGCCTCTGCTAGATTGTTGACTAATCTTACTATAAGAACTGCCAACATCAACATATACAGGCACTGCTGGCCAATCTGAGGTCTCAGAGGGCTTTGCTTTCCTGCATTTCAAACCAAACAAGACTACCATTATCAATATGAGGATCAAAGTCACACCTCCGACAACTGAACCAACTATTATAAGCCAGTGTTTCGTCGTTGGCTTCGTTGTCGTTGGAACTGATCCCACATCTTTGATTAGCTCCATAATCTCCACCCCATTCAGAAAGGCTGCCTGATTCTTCGAATCATTCCGGGGAGCAATAATGACATTCAAAAAACCCGAATCATCAGTATCAACCACAAAATTATAGTAAAAAGGAACTGCCAACTGGGGAAATGTGTTGTATGGATCGACCAACAGACCGAACTTGCTGTAAATGTAGAAACTGAATATCGAAAAATTGAGGGTCGGACTCACAATATCACAAAAGTGCACCCGGACAAGGTGTGTAGTAGTTTCTCTCACCTTAAATCGCCATGTTATATTGGAAAAACTCAACATATTACTATCGTCTCCCTTTAACTGTTTGGCAGTCGTATAGACATTAACAGGGGCTGAATCTTCAGTTGCGGCCATGACTCCGTTCAACTGAGTTGTCAATTCACTTTTATAATTAGGCGTAGCACTATGAGGATTACTGTTTATTGCAGCATCCTTATTAACAAGATAATCATCATCGGGTACCCAATTCCCCCAGAGAGTACTACTATTTTCCGGCGTGATGGTAAGGCCCCCGACATTAATCCGATGGACTATTTTGAGAATATTAAAGAGCAAACCACTGTAATTACCGTTATTTCCAGCAGGAGTGACATGAGGAGCCAAATTCGGAATGAATTGACCCGGTGCATCGAATATTTCTATTGCATTTACGAATGCAAAAGATGATTTTTGATAAGGTGAGAAGTAAATTGGGTACTTCGCAGCATTAATGGAGAGCAAGAATTCTTTAATCACAGGTGAATTGTAATTACCACTGTTTTGGACACTGAAATTCGATAGCAGCGAATACCCAGAAGCCGTAACGTTGAAACGAGCATCGGAGAGCTTGTTCGGAGAAGAAAAGGCATAGAAATGGAGGCGTACCACGAAAGTGCCGGTTTGGACTATTTGAAACTCATACGAAGATGGGTTACTGAAAATTCTTGCAGTTTGGTAGAGAGGAGAATTGGGTGTTGACGTGTCGGTGCTTTTAACACGACTGCTCCCAATGGCAGAGAGGGTGAGAGAGTCGGAATTGCCGTCGGCGACGAAGTTCCGGCCGCTGACTGTGACGTTGGAGTCTGAGCCACAGTTGATGAAGTGCTCTTCTCGTGGAGTATAAGCAGATGAGAGAAGTGAGAGAGATGAGAATTCTAAAAGCAGGAGGAGATAGAGAGAGAACAGTGCCTTGTGGGAGTAATGTTTTTCCATGAATTTGGCTTGAGAACAGCTCGTTACTTTTGTAAGAGAGGGAGAATGAGGCTTATCGTTTAGGAGGAGGGAAGGAAAGAAGATAACTATACAACTGAGATATCAGAAATGAAGGGTACATAAAGAGGAGGTGAGGTTGACGTTATGTTGACTAGTTGCAGTTGGATTTTCTTTGATACAGAATAATAATTCTTGAGGGAAAACAATATTGACAAGGCTGCATCTCTCTGTTCTTTTTTTTTTTTCCTTCCTGATCATCCGCTGCTTGTTATAAGAAGGGGACAAGAAGTTTCAACATTGGGGACGGTGGCCCCCTTCATATTTTTTCTTTTTTCTTTTTAGTTATTCTTTAAACATGAGCTGCAAAAAGAACAAAAGAAAAAGAACCCAAAAAAAAGGAAAAAAAGAAAAGAAAAAAAAAGTGAATAAAAACAAATTATAACCCACTATCCCAATCTAATGATATTTATCTTATGCTTGGTTTATATTTTTGTTTATGCATTCCGTAGCCCCCCAATTAACCAATTTAGCAACATTTTGGCAATGAAAATGAAGGCCTCACTTACCGGGGAAAAAAAAATTGAGGCTTCATTGTTTTACTAACACTGCTATGTTAACCACAATTTTTTATTAAGTGATGTGACGTAGTTTTAACTATCAATTGGGGCGACATAACTTATTTTGGGACTTTAGACGAAAATATTATGTGAAACCTTATAAATATTTATTCAAGATGGTCATTTTGTACTAAGTCGATGCGACGTCTGAATTTTGCTTCAAAAATATAGTAGCTAATAATATTTTTATAAAAAAATATGTTACAATCTTTAATCATTGTTCATAAAGTGTTTTCTCTCGTCTGCCTTCTATATATGTATTTGTGGTCGTTAAGAGGAGCAAATGAAGAGGAGCACAAGTAATAATAGTAATACAAAATACTTAATAAAATATGTTTATTTATAATTATTTATTTTGCCTTTTGAGATATCTAATTCAAATTTTAAATTTAAATTTAAATTTTATAAATAAAAATTGTGTTAATCAAAGTCAAATACGGAGATTAAATATAATGATACATACTATTTGTTTAAGATAAAAGTGAAACATAATTGAAAATTAGTTTGACTAGTAAAATGATTTTTTTTTCCTAAATGTATATAAAATTAGGAATTTATACAAGTCTAGTAGTCCTAAAATAAATGAGACATTTATATAAAATATGACAGACTTCAATAAATTTATCTGACGGTCTCAAATAGACTTATTCAATGACCACCAACATCTCTCTTAAAACCATTCAAATTGAATTTTCCCCTAAATCCACCATTTCTCACTTATCTTGCATCATGTCTTCAGGCATAAATTATCCCTAGTTGTTAGATATCATAGGAAAAAAAGAGCTATTTTTAAATAAAAAAGATAAGTAGTGCACTACTTCTACTCATTCTATTTTATAGTCAATTTAATTTATAGTAATGTAAAATTATTATTCATACCTATTATATGATGTACAATTGATTTTAATAATAAAACTGACAAAGTGATAATATATCAAGAGTGATAAAAAAATAAGTTGAATTTTAGACGCCTAAATTCTTTTGAAAGAAGTTCCAAATTTTTTTACAAAATAATACTAGTTGCACTTAATTTGAGGACCAAGTACATTAGATAAATAGTAAATTTTGTTTAAAGTTAGCACTCACTATTAGTTCAATGATTAAAATATATTCAGTATATAAATTATATTCTAAAATTTTAATTATATATTATTGTTTGTTTTATTTTGGGGTCCCAATTTTTTCTTCCAATTTGAGGGCCTTAGACAGAGGCCTAAAAGTTGGGCTGACACTCACCATCAAATAAGTAGATCTCATTAATATTCAATGATAAAAATTATATCAAATCACTTAGAATAAAAAACTTGGTAACCATAACATTGTTTTACTGATGCTTTAATTCAAATTTACTAGAATTTTAGTAGTAGCGATAGGTTTTGTTAAAACCATACTAAATGAGTAAATGTGGAATGTAATTACAATTTTTTCTTGATACCATATGAATAACCGAAAATACTTGTTAGAAATACAAAGGGTTTAGGATTTGACAAATTTATTATTCATCTACAACGAACAACTTTTCTTCAAGAGCATATCTTTATGTAAAATTTGGGAGGATCTACAGGGATAGTCGAGAGTAGGGGTGTTAATTGAGCCAAGCCTTCTGAGTTTAGTTATGCTCACGCTTGGCTCATGTTATTCAAGGATTGCTTAAACTTAGCTCGGGCTTGCCTATCGAGCTCAAAATATTGTTCAAGCCTAACTTAAACCGAATCAAGTCAGGCTTGAGCAAAAAATGAGCAATTCAAAAAAAACCCTATATAACTCTATTTCTTAGATTTTTAAACACATTATCTCAAACACACACTCTCTCATATCTCATATAACTCTCTCTCTCTCTCTCTCTCTCTCTCTCTCTCTCTCTCATTCATTCACTTTTGTGAGTGAATGTTATGTGTTAAATATGTATTGTTATTTTTCGTGTTTTTTTACTCAAAATTTGCAGCTTTGATATGATTTTATTATTGTTAAATATTATGTGTTAAATGTGCTATTATTATTTTCAAGAATATTTGTGTGATTTTATAGATGAGAAAGTATTTAAATGTTAAAAAAAAAATCAGGTTGTAGACATTTAAAACCAAGTCAATTACAAAAACACAAAAAAAATTCAAAACTAAGAGCACCAAATTTTTTTTAAAAAATTCAAAACCAAGCTAATTACCAATAAAAAAATAACAATGACCAATAAAAAAAATAAATGAAACCACTTGCACCAAAAAATAATATTCAAAATTAACTATAAATTTTTTTTCCCAAGTTATAAACATTCAAACTTAAACTAATTACTAATAAAAAAAAATAACAAAGCCAAATATTTGAGTAATTTTATAGAATGAAAAAATATTTGAATTTTAAAAAAAAATTTATCAGGTTGTAAACATTCAAAGCCAAGTTGATCACCAACAAAAAAAAATAGTAGTACCAATTGCACCAAAAAAAAAAAATCAAAGCCAAGTAATTACCAATAAAAAAAATAAGTGAAACCAATTGCACCAAAAAAAAGGAAAAAAAATCAAAGTTAAGTAATCACCAATAAAAAAAAAATAAGTTAAACCAATTGCACCAAAAGAATAAAAAAAATTCAAAGTCAAGTTAATCACCAATACAAAAAATAACAAATGATTGAGTTTTTAATTATGTTGTCAAATTGAGTTGAATGATGACAATGGTAATAAATTCATACGTTGTATAAATGAGTAAATTTTATTTATTGTTTAATAATTGTAAATTTTATTAGGTTCCATTAGTATTTTTTTTCCAATGTATTTGTATATGTGATGTTGTTTTGAGGAATTTTTTTATACATTTTTGTGATAGTTCTATTAATATAGAGGATATGATCGATAATATATTTTGAGTCATTTTAAAAGAATTGGTATGAATGTTTTTGGGCCATTTTCTTTTTCAAATTGGGCAATTATTTACAAATTTTTTATGCATTATTTAGTGCCTTTATATATGAGTAATGACTGGTACATATATATATATACACGCGTAGTAGTTGTGCGTGTTGAAACATGAGTTCAAGAAAAAGGAAGAAATAGAGAGACTAAGAAGGCGAGTGAAGTGAGAGAGAAGAGTTTGAATGGGAGGAAAGGAAACCCGGTAGAGGAACTTCGCTCTCTCGGTTCGAATTCGGCGTGAAACAAACTAATTTATTTGGTTTCTTTGATTTTCTTAAATGCTTTGTTGAAGAATTGAAAGGGAGTAATACTTCTTGTTAAGAAATTATGTTAATAATTTTTTGCATTTGGTTGTTTAAAAACGTAGGAAAAAGATTGGGTTTTGGTGTATGAAAATTTTGGCTGTGGGTATGGTTTTGATCTTGGATTTAGATTGTCGAATTTTGGATGTTGGGTTTGTAAAAAATATGAAATAATATGTTTTTGGGGATTGAAATTGTTGGTATGTATGTTAGAAGTTCAAAATTTTATTAACATATAGTAATAATATTGAATTTTACGGTCAAATATATGTTATATTTAATTTTTTGGTATGCAACAATATCATAATATTAATATAAACAGTAGTAAATCTATAATATAATTAGATGTGTAAATACTCAAAAATAATAATTTTAAAACTCCATTATAAACAATAAAAAAAATGTTTAAAAGGGCTAGAAAAATATCTAAATAAAAGACAGATTATGTACTCCAAGAGAGTCTAAGAAATGTATAATAGATCAATAATTAAAATAAGAATTAATTATTTGACATATAATTTATATTTTAATTTAATTTTTATAAAAAATATATATTATTTAAATATGTCCATATGCAATGCACATCTTGCATTGTTAGTATACACAATTGTGTGTGTATACGCTGATAGCTAGTAATAGAGATCAATAGATCGTGAAAAGTTTTTGCTTGTACACACACAAGTAGGAAAAATGAGTCGCCTCATGAAAAATTTGGACTTAGCTTGACTTGTCTGGAATACACAAGTCAAAAAATTTGTTCAAATTCAATTTATTTTATAATATGAACGAGCTTAAACCAAAATAAAATCAAACCGCATCAGAGTCGTTCACAAGCCGTTGGAATCTTTTAAAAGCACCATCGGAGAGGCTTATAAGCCTGGCAATAATTCCACGCGGCTTCGTGGAAATTTTTTTGAAAGGACTTTTGATAATGATAGACAACAATTGTAACGGCCCTTTTTTTTTTTTTTTCAGAGACGTTAATTAATATAAAAATATCTAAATAAAAATAACAAAACACTAATTATCCTAATAAAATTTTATTTATCAAAATCATCTCTCAATACAAATAAATCTTTCAATATAAATAAAACATCAATTATGCTGATATTTTCTCATCTTTAATACTCTGATTATCTCATTCCGATTTTTTCTCTAAAATCAACCTGAAAATATTACATAAAACGGGAAAAATATACAATATGACGGAAAAAAATATGCTCAAGGACATTGAATAACAAATAATCGAGTATCACAAAGTATCTCAATCAACAGATACAAATATCAAATTTGCATATCACACGTCATGCAGAATCTTAACACAGATCTGACACTCATCAATCATCCCACCTCAATCCGATCTCATGGGTCTCTTGGCTGGCGATGCA